TAAAAAATTTAAATATTAAAAAAATTAGTAAAAATCTTTGCAGGCAAATTTGCCTGTGTTACAATTTAAGGGATAAGGTTTGTGGCAAGCCGACTAGCTCTGAACCCGGCCTTTGTAGAAAGCATTCTGGTACCTATTATGTAACCCAATATTTTAATAGGCTTCGGAATAAAGCTAATGCCGATAATTTAATCTGGATGAAAATTGATGAATTACTTCTAGAGCTGTCAGCGAACAAAACTGAAGAAGCAGGAGAGCAGGGTCTACAAATCGAAGCACTACGGGTACCAGCACTATTGCTCCAATCATGAGCGTAAAATCAGAAGATACTGGAGATGAAGCTCTGATTTTTAAGCCCGGTAATGAGGTTACAATCCTTCAATCCAGAATCATTACCTCTGGTAATATTCCTAAAGCTCTAATTGATTCGAATGGTGAGAATATAGGTATTGACCTCTTTGGAGATTAGTAGAGTTAGATTATTTTGGCTAATAATTTTTTATTTACATCTTGCTAGCCATTTTTTTTACATCATGCTATCCGATTTTTTTTTTACACCTAGAGGTGAGATGCTTTTATTTGAATGAAAATCGATGAATTGCTTCTAGAGCTGTCAGCGAACAGAGCCGAAGAAGCAGAAGAGCAAGGTCAAGCGTCTTCCCTGCAAGGTTTGTAGCAAGCTGACTAGCTCTGAACCCGGCCTTTGCAGAAAACATACTAGTGTTGCTATGTAACCCAATATATTAATAGGCTTCGGGAACTAACTTTTTGCAATAATTGCTCAAAGTCAGAGCTTCGAGTGATGAAATCACAAGGCCCAATGACTGATTACACTGCGCATACTCAATCTGTCTTTTTTTCACACCTTAGTTCACCTATAGCAATTTAAGGTTAACAAGGCTTTGGATAGGTAAGAAAATATGAAATAGGGTAACAGAAAAGTCACCCAAAGGTGAATCTATTTACCTCCTTTAATAGCATACTAAAATAGGATAGCAATATAGGTCAAAAAAT